AGCCAGTCACCCTGCCGGCGGCCCCTCCTCCGCCGCCTCCTCGGGCCGCGCCGCGCCGCCGCGCCGCGTCCCCTCACTCGGCGGCGCCGCTGGCTGCTTGTAGGACACAAAAGGACATCGCGGCCGCTTCCTACTCCGCTTCCTCCAGCTGACAGCGGGGGCGGGGCCGGTCGTGCGCATGCAAAGCAGAGGGCGGGGCTCGACGCCCTATGCTAATCAGATAAGTGAGGCAGGCAGCGCCTGTGTTCCCGGAGGAGTCGGGCGGAGCCTTCAGGACCAGTGGGCGGGGCTCAATGAAGGCGTACATGCGTACACCACTGCTCGGGGGTGGGGCCAGAGACCTGGTGGAGCGCTTGGAATGAGATTTCAGAGGGAACAGAGGAGGCGGGTGGAGTTTTGCGCTGGAGGAGTGGGCGACGTCGCTTAGTGGCTGCAGCTGCTGGGAGAAAAGAGGCCTTTATGAAAATGAGAAGGCGGGATGGCCGAAGAGGCCGGGGTATCTGCATATGCATAGAGGGTGGAGCCCAGCTACCGGAGGGAGCACAGCTTCGTTCCTTCACCCCTTCCTTCCCCGTAGGTGACGCTTTCTGGGTACCTGAATCACAGACTCTGTAGCCCCGGAAAGCTGCGAAGCCCCTGGTGGAAGAAACAGATTTATACGTGCAAGTAGCCCTGGACTGCGAGTTCCTGGGAGGCAGGGCCGATAAGATCCGACAGAGAAAACTCAAGGTCATTGCGGTGACCGAATGAAGGTCATGGGGAAGGGCGGGGCCACGTGCGTCCGCCTCGCGCAGGCAGCCACGCACAGACTCATGGATTATGCCACAGACTCTTTAATTTCTCTAGAGCTCAGACTCCAAACCAATGGGGTCGAGCTTGAGTCAGGAGAAGGGGCAGGAATCGGACCGCTGCTAGAGCCAGAGGTTCACTGAAACGTCCAGAGTAGTCTCCTCCGCCTCTGGAGCTCCTCGACGCTTCGCTGCAGCTCTTTAGTCAGGAAGTGGTTCTCACCGATCTTGGACCGATAGCCTGGGAGCAAAGCAGAGCTGAGTTGAGGCAATGAGCCCCGGCAAGGCTTACCCACCAGCGGCACTGCCGTTTGATTCGAGGAGTCGCAGATGGCTGGGCGCTGGGCGCCGGGCCCTGTATAAGTTTGGGAAAGTTTGGATCCCTCTTTATTGCAAAGGTGGAGGAAGGTAGTGAGAGCCAGCTAGAGAAGATGCCATAGGCCTGAACTGTGGTGGGCTAGCATATTTGTGGAACCCTGTGGACCACCGACTCTAAATATGGCCCTTTGGATGTCACATCATAAGCAGTTTACCCAAATAATCCACTGTTCAGTAAATTTACCTAAAGCCACTGGTCCCTCACAGAACCCCTGCCTGGGAAGAAGCCAAAGCTACATCCCACTGGGCAAGAGGAGAAGCTTCCTAAAACCTCACCTACAAAGGAGCTTAACTGAGGCCTGTCACCCCTCTCCCCATCTTGGGCTTGGTCTCTCAACTATTTTTGTGGGGCCCTTGGAATATTTATGAGTGCTAAGACCACCTGACAAGGCATATTCATTCTGAAACTCCATCTCCCAGGCCCAAGCCCTGCAAAATATATCGGGATGATGGGGGGGGGGCTCACTCTTGAGGGCTTTGGTGAGGATTTCCAGAGCTTCAATCTCCATGAGTTGCCTCAGGGGCAGTGGCAGCTGGAAAAACAGTGAGAGGCTCAGGCACCTGGTAGACCCCAGTTCTGTCCACAAAAGAAATGTTCCACCTGATTCCTGCAGTCCCAAGACCACCACCACCCCCCACCAGCCTGCTTGCACCTCCACCCTGGCAGCCCCCTGTTCTTTCACTGATGTACCCCTCAACCTGCCCATTTCTCATCCCCAGCCTTTTTCTGACCTTTTTCTGCTGCTCTGCCAAGTAGAGTCGAAAGCCTGCTTGCTCCCAGGTACTAGACAATGTCTCTGAGAGATGCTCTTTTGAGAGAAGAGAAAACAGAGGTCAGTCACTTGCAGACTCCTGGGTCTTCCCTGGAACAGGGCTGCATGTGGTGGGAGGAAGTGGGGATCAGAGATCAGTTCCATCTGCTTCCTTAGAGACAGTATGAGATGGTACCTTCCTAGGTTCCAATTATGGCTGTCCCATTCTATGAGACTTAGGTTCAATGACAACTCTCCACACACACACTGGAGGTAACCCATGCATGGACCTTGTGCACACTAGCAAGCAGTCCACTACTTTGTCTCCAGTCCCAGTATCTGAGACTTACCCTCACATTCTTCATCTGTAAAATAGATGCTAAAAGTGGCTTCTTGTGGAAGTTGTAAAGCGTAAAGGTAACCATGCAAGGGAAGCCCAGAGCAAGCACTTAGTATGCACCAATTATGATATTATCAGTTCTAATCCCCTGATAAAAGTGAAGAGAGGAGCTAGTGGTAACCCCAGCACTCTGGGAGATTGAATCAGGAGGCTCAAAAGTTCAAGCCTAGCCTGGGCAGTTTAATGACTGAATGAGAAAAAATTAAAAAGGCTCATTGTTAAGGACTTGGGTTCAATTCCCAGTATTGCCAAAGAGGGAAGAAGGGAGGGAAGTCCCAAATAGTGCCCAGCAGACTATAGTAGGTGCTTAAAAACTGTAAACAAGAGCCAAATGTGGTGGCTCATGCCTGTAATCCCAGCACTCAGGATTAGGTAGGAGGATCACTTTGAGTTCGAGTCCTGTCTGGGCTACATAGTAGATTCAAGATTTGCCTGAACTACATAATGACCCTGCCATAAAAAAAAAAAAAAAATTGTAAACAATGATTGACTAAATGAAAAATAATCTCTTCAGCCAGCACAAATCCTAAAACAGGAAATTAACACTCCTCTCAACAGGCTGCATGATTCTATTTAAAGCATCCATCTCTGCACTGCCTCCACAGGGTTTCCTGCAGGTTCCTGGGCTAGGCGTCATAGATGCCCTCCCGCTAGGGGGCGCTCAATGACTGCTAGGTTGATTCAAAGTGTGCAGCACCTAAGCTAGCACCCTCCTTGATACTCCTACAAACTTGGATACTATCGGTTTCCCCCATTGTGCATACAGGAAAGTGAGGCCTGGCCAGTTGCTTGTATTGTGGACACCCATGACCTGGCAAGGCCACACTGACCGTTCCCAGTCTCAGATTCGCTGTCCAGCTCCACTAAGTGGATGTCCAGGGTCCTGCGGCGGAGCGGTTCCAGCTTCAGCAGAGTGTGCTGGTCCAGGTCCTTGGGCTTGGAACTGTCCTTGTCACCATCCTCCTGGAGGCCCTGTTGGCTGTCCCACCCGCAGGTGTCATAATCTGCGCCGTCGCCCTCCTGGTCCGAGCTCCTGCAGACCTCGCATGGCTTCAACGGTGTTACCTGGGCCGCCCCATTCAGGAGGCCGTTATGCCCGCTCTCCTGGCCCAGGCTTTGGTGGTCTGAAGATGCCTGTGGGCCACATACAAAGAGGAAAGGCAGGGGTCTGGGGCTGGGGTCCTGAATCAGGGTGGGGGGGTGAGGGTTATAGGGATGATGAATGAGGTTTCAGGAGCTGTGCCGAGATCTACGTCAGGGGGTTGGGGTGGGACTGAAAAAGAGTAGCAAGCAAGAGACCGGGAGGGTGCTTACTTTAAAAGGCTCTTCCTCCATGGTTTGGCCCCAACGGACTCAGGTGCGGCCGACCTCTGGGCGAGACAGGGGTCACACTCCAGAAGGGGGAGGGGCGGGTTCTTCCAGAACGTCAGTAGGGGTCTCGCTCTTGGTACCAGTTTCCCCCGCCCTTCTCCAGCCCATCCCTTATCTGAGCTGAGGTTGGAAACATCTTAGCCAATTCTGCTGTTGGTCCCTACCCAGCTGGTAAATTCTGAAAAAAGGACTGCGACTTCACTGATGTGGGTGCCCAGGAGCCCTGGGGCAAGGGGTGGCCTCGTGGTGGTGGCCCAAGGGACGCGCTCCCACACCCACTCACGTCCCCGGAGCGCCCACGCCTGCAGCAGTGCAGAGTGTTTTCATTTATTGATGCAGGTTTTGAGGCACAGTCGTGAGGTGTTGTGAGGGACAAGACCTGCTAGGGCACGCGACAGAATGGGCGGAAGTCAGGAAAGGACCAGGGACCGGAAGTGGTGAGTAGGCGATCCTAAGCCTCCTACCTAGGCCTCAGTTGAGCATCAGAAGAGGGCTCTTTGGTCAAACAAGCCAAGCATGCCAGGGAGACAGCAGAAGCAAAGTCCTTTGAGAGGTCCGACCCAGGGTCCTGTCCCTATATCGGCACCCCTTTGTTTCGGGGGCGCACTGGACCACGGGGCCGCACGGGCTTCCTGGGGGTGTTGGGACGGCGGCGACCTCTTGGCGCACGAGGCAGAGCACAGCCACGCTCGCTTTGTGTGTCTGAGGACTCATCAATGAAGGCCAGGTTTTCACTGGGGTAATCGAGGGCAGAGGCCGTGGGCGGGGAAGGTGTGGCCACCTTCTCTGGGGATAAGGGGGACTGGGGCGGACCAATTGGCTGTGCTGGACATGGTAGGGGAGGCAGAGGTGGCCGCTCCTTCTCTGGCAGTGATGCGGTGGGCACGGCTCGCTGGGTCACCCGTGCTGTCACTGTGCCAGTCCAGCTGGCAGCCTGTGCAGTGAGGCCACCCATCTGTGTGGGGAGGAAAAGGAGTCCTCGACCAGGGTTCCCTGACTGCCTGCACAACCCCAGGAGCCACAGTCTTTTCACCTGGTCCTGCAGCCTAGGCCATCAAGAAAATGGAAAAACACTTCCCCTCAGCAGGGAGCTTGCCTCCCCTCCACCTGCTAGAATAGCCCTCTGGGAAAATGCATTGTATGTCAGCCCTAAGACTCTTGCTCCCTCTACCTGGCTGGCTGGGGGGGGGGTTGGTTTTGTTTTATTTTGTTTTTATTGATATCAGGTATCATACTAAGGATCTTGCACTTGCTAGACAGGTGATTATGCTGCTGAGCTATATCCCAGGCCCATGGCTGGGTGTTTTCAACAGGTAAATAACAAGTGACATTGTAGTAGAAGTGTGCTCCATGCAGCATTTAGAGCATAGCCTAAAATTTTATTTGTTGTTTATCTGTAATTCACATTGAACTGGGCTTTCTGTATTTTTTTTTTCCTGGTATAGAGGATTGAATCCAGGGCCTCTGCACTAAGCTACACGCCCAGCCCTCATTCATTCATTCATTCATTCATTCATTCATTCATTCATTCATTTGTTTAAAATTTTGAGGGGCCAGGGAGCTGGCTCAGTGGAATAAGCGCTTCCCTGGCAAGCACAAAGGCCTGAGTTCAATCCCCAGTTCCACCAAAAAAAATAAAAAAATAAAATAAAATTTTGAGACAGGGTCTCTCAGAGTCACCAAATTGCCCAGGCTGGGCTGAACTCCCAATTTTCCTGCTTCAGCTTTCCAGAGTGCTGTGATTACAGGCACTTGCACCACCACATCTGGTTGCTCTCTCTGCTTTTATGTGCTGCATCTTAACAACCCTATCCATAAGGACAGAGGTGGTAGAGTCACCAGACACAAAATCTCCCTCAGTCTCTGCCTTGAGAAACTCACACTTTGGTAAGGAGACACACTGGTTAATCAGCTCAGGAAGTGCACTTGAGGTGTCACCCCCAATGTGCATACCTCTGCCCGTGTGCGGCGAGACACAGCTCTCAACCAGTTCCCAATGGTGGTGAGCACCGAGGCGAAATAGGCCAGGCCAAGCAGGATCCAGAACCACACCAGCGGCTGGTAAGCTGGAAAGTTTTGCTTGGGGTCGGCACCTGGGATGTTACCAGGGAAGGAGGAAAGAAATTGATTACATGGAAAGCCCTTGAGCCGCCTGTTCACTGCCCCTTTTTCCTGCCTTGCTGTGAAAGCATAACCTCCCCAGGGTAAAGGGGAGGATGCTAGAATGTATGAGTGTGTGTTAGAACGTGCTAGAGTACGGGAAGGTCAGTGCAGGAGTCAAAGGAGTGCAGGACAGTATGCAAGAGCAGGTGCTGTCATGCAAGAAGGTAACACGTGTGAGAGGTGTGCTTGATATACGTGTGAGCATGCATGGGACTACAGGCATGCAAGCATATATATGTGCATGAGGAGGGGTATATGTGGAATCATTCCATGATAGGTGCAGAATGGAGAGAAAAGGCACCATGTGGAACTTTGGGGGAGAGATCCTGGACAGCAATAAAGAACGTACAGTGCAAAAAGAACAGCCTCACCAGCCACATAATCCCCGAAGCCCACGGTGGTGAGTGTCACTATGACAAAGTAGATGGCCTCCAGCTTGCTCCAGTCCTCCATATAGCAGAATATAAATGTGGGCGCGAGGACAAAGAGCAGGCAACCAATCAGCAGGAAGAGCATCGCGGACAGGACTCGCACCAGCCCTGGTGGCACATGCCACTTCTGCAGGGAAGAGCAGTAGGCAGGACCACAGAGAAGACACCAACATCTTCTACTCCCACCCCTGCCACCACACCTCATCCTGCCCCAGGTAAGTGACAGAGGTGCCTGCCCCTCTAGAGATGCACCATCAGTTGCCAAGGACCTAGGGAAGGGCCTCCTCAGTCCAGTGCAAAAGCACACAAGGTGTGGACCAGCTCACCAGAAAGATTGCCTCAATGTGACCAATCCCACGACGCAGGGAGGAGCCCAGACGATCCCCGACACCTGCCAACAGCATCCCAAACAGCGGGATCCCCACCAGTGCATAAAAAATACAGAAGAGGCGACCAGCATCTGTGCGCAGGGCTGCATTGCCATAGCCTGGGCAAAAAGGCGGTGCCAAAGTCTAGGTGACACCTGGCACCCCAACCTCTCCCTGAACCTTCCCCCATAAGGAAACTCCTTATCCCCACCCTCCTGCAATGGCCCCATTTCCTCTCCCACCAATGGTGGTGATGATGGTTCCTGAGAAAAAGAAGGCACTGCCCAGGTTCCAGGCTGAGTGGTTGCTGATACTGGTTGAGTTGGTTTCTGGATCCGCACCCCCTCCCAGGGCATCAGCCACTTCCTGCAGGGCAAGGCACAGAAGGAGAAATCTGAGTCTTTCCTGCCCTTCCAGCCTATAGGCTGGTCCTCCTCACCTTATAGCAGAGGAGGCAAATTGGGTGCCCCAATCCATTGCGGACAAGTTTGTCTGAGCTCTGTGATGTTTCAGAAACACTTGCATCATCTGCCCCCTAATTCTACAGAATACATTTCTAACTATACAGTTGTAAGCACAGCTCCTAGGAACAGACTGACTACCTGGGTTCAAATCTTGGTGCAGTGTGACAAGATAAATTAACTCTTTCTACCTCAGTTTCTGTATCTGTCAAGTGGGGGCAAGTATAACACCAACCTCATAGGTCAGTTGTGAAGAGTTAAAGCACAACACAGTAAGCATTATGATTCTTAGGAAAATTACCACATGGTGATTTTACCCTGTGATCTCCAGTTTTATATAGACCCCACTGCTCCCACTCACCCTAAAGAAATTGGTGTCCATTGCCTTAGACATCTAGTAAAAATTAGGGGCCTTTCCTCCAGAAAAGATTGGATATCATCAGAGTTTGCATCCAGTTTTAGGATATACACACACACACACACACACACACACACAAACACAAACACACACCACCAAAGTCCAAACTAAACCCAGTGTTACACAGTACATGCTCAATAAGAATTATTGAGTGTCCACATGTTTGCCCTCTTGCCTGCAAGTGCCTCAGGAAGGTTCTGTACTTCTTGTTTTGTTTTGCTTGATCCCAGGAATGCTCTACCATAGAGCTACATTCCCAGTCCTATTTATTTAATTTATTTATGCTTCAGACAGGTTCTCACTGAGTTACCCAGGCTAGCCTTGAACTTGTGACCATCCTACATTAAGCCACTTCCTGGGATTATAAGTGATGGAAAGCAGAGAATTAGGAGGATGTACTGAGGGCCCCTTCCTCACGGAGCAGAAGGACAGTCTGTGGGGAAGAACATAACCCACATTTTTTCTCTGAATACTGTCCTCAGTAGCAAGAGACATTCTAATTAATTTCCTACAGGGACTGTTCCAAGCCCTCCAAGCTCCTTTCTGTTTGAAGAATGGACTCTAGACTCTCCATTTCATCATACTAGAGAGACCCTTTTCTTTTCCTTTCTTTTCTTTTTTCAGAACCAGGGATCGAATTCAAGACTTTGGGGTTGCCAGGCAGTCACTTTTGCCGCTGAACTATCTCCCTGGCCCTGAGAGACCTTTTCTAAACTGGTCCCACCTCTTGTCCCCAGTCTTCTCTCCTGGGATTCTGAGTGATAGCGTCCTTCCCCCAAGTTTATAATATGATTCTATTTCCTATAATAACAATTTTTAATAAAGTCAAGAAATCAAATGTCTGATTAGGAATGACTTAATTTTTATTTTGTAACACTTTTCCAATAAATTCACTACATAGGAGGAAAAAATCCTGTGTCATGCTGTGTTCTAATTTCTGCTTCAAATGACTAAGCATCTGCTAACTCCAAATTCTGCAAGACATTCTAGAGCTTTCCAGTTTCCACACCTTTGCCCATACTGTTTCTCTGCCTAGGAGTCATTTGTCCTCAATCCCTGAACTCCTTCCCTCATATTCTGTTCATTTCAGTTGCCAGCTCTTTCTTCTCACCCAGCCCACAGCTCAGCATACCAAGGTGCTAAACAAAGAAGGGAAAGAAGCTTCCCTTCCACTGCACCCCACAGTGATCTGTCTGGATCTGTCCCTTCACCTAGATGTGACATCATCTAAAGCAGAGCCTGCATCTGCTGCATCCTAATATCCATCACCTACTCACCCCACAGGATATAGCACTACAGCTCCTAGCACACAGTACTTACATACACAATTGTTGGATAGCTAATTTAAGAAGTGACTTTCATTATGGAAGAGAAGTAAAGCAGCTGTCCCCGACTCTTTTAGGTCCTACGCTTCCCTTTTTTTTTTTTACTTTCTTACTCAGAAAAAAAAAAAAAAAAGCAAATGCATTGTGAAGATAAAATAGGTCATATTCCCTTCTTCTGCCCCATGGTCTGGTCAGACACACTTTCCATCCAGGCCTCTCTGAGGCTGAGCCTCCTGCTTTCTGGAAATGTCAGAGACACGTCAGGTGGCTGGCTTTGCCCTGGATTTTCCCCTCTTGTGGAGCAGATAAAACACAGAAGCTTCCACACTGGTGGCCTCTCCTGCCACCAAGAACAGGCAAGGAACACTTCTGGGTACTCTTCAATACCCATAAATATTAATTGATTAAAGTTAAATCATACTGTTTCATTTAACAATGACTCAGAAATCATAGAAAGCAAGAGGTACTCACTGACTGTACCCCAAAAGGTGAAAGCCAGACCTCTCTAGTGACTGGAAGGAATCTGACCAAAAGTAGTTAAGGGGAGCCCCAATCTGGCCCTGCTCACCCCCTACTTGCCTGTCTGATTAAGCATATATTGAGGAAAGGGTCTCCTACCCTGGTATCCACTGTGGTATAGACAGGAGCACTCTGAAGTGTTCTGTTCATGGTTATATACACACTTGGCGGGTGGAGGGGGAGTTCTTCACAGTGTTCTTGGGCTTATCTAAGGCATCTGTGACTCCAAAAATGTATAGGTACTAGTGTAGAAAGGCTTGCCAGCTTTGGCAAGCAAAGATACTGGATGGGATATACTTGTATTAAAATGACTTAGTTAAAATTCACATGTAACTGGGCATTCTGGATTTTATGTGGTAACTAAACTGGTGAGTTAAATGTGGGCAGATATAATATGTCATGTGCTTCATTCATTCATTCATTCATTCACTCACTCATTTATTCAGTGTTCTTCCATTCCATAGCCCTCACACAGGAGCACAATCAAGTGCCAAGCATAGCAAGAAAAATGAAAGATCTTGCCGTGTGCAAGAGACCTAGATCCCTGCCATGCATCCCCTCTCCTGTACCCAGGCCTCAGGAATTAAATCTGGAAATAACACCCAGCCCGGAGCCCAGATGGGGAACTGCTGAAGGGGCGCTGGCCCCACCCACCTTGATGAAGAGACCCAGCTCATGCTGGCTCACACATGGATGGGCCCTCAGGAACTTCTCACGGGTCTCTCCTAAGTCCTTCTGGGCCTGCTGCTCATAAGGCTGCTCCAGGGCCTGGAACACCAGGGCACCCGACACCAAGTACAGCAGGACCAAAGCTAGCAGCGCCAGGAGGGTGGTGCTACGCATGGCGCGCCCAGGGGCTTGGCCAGCTCCACTGCTGCCCGCTGGGGGAGGTGGGGCAGGAGGCTCCTGGGGAGCAGTGGTCACTGTGGGCAGAACCAGGGATGCTGGGGTCAATAAGCTGGCCCACACCCTCCTCCACCCGGTCCCCTGCACACCCACAAGATCCTCAGAGCCCCCATATTTAATATCCATAAGAGGTCCCCTCATATCCTCCCTGCTGGCCACTTAGTGCCAGGGACACCTGGTACTTCTTACCTCTAATGACCAACTGTCAGGGATTCTGGGGTGTGAGAAGAGGAGGGCAGAAGAGTGAGACAAAGGATAGGGCCTGGGGCGTTTGGGGCGGGGGAAGGCATGCTCTCAGAGGGAAAGGGGTGGAGGAGTGGAGGAATAGAGTGGGGACAGGGCTAGCTGGTTCACCCGGGGCTCAGCCAACTTGGCAACATCATTTTTGTGCCCACTCTTCTCCCGACAGGCCTGGCAGGGAGCCTCAGGGTCCCTCTGTGCCCTGTTAGGCTTTCGAGGAACCCAGAGGCTGGTCCTGGGCGAGGCAGGATGCAGGGAAGCGAGAGGGCGCTGGGTTCCCAGAAGGAGGGGCAGGAAGGGCCAACCCTTGTAGCAAGCAGCCCCCGGGACAGCTGTCAGCTCTAGGGACAGGGGAAGGCGGCGCCCACACACGCGCGCGCATATACACTCATCACAAGCCTTCACACACTCAGACACACTAGGGCACAAAGCTCCACGCGCCCACGCTGCACCTTGTAGGTCCCGCGTGCCGTGTGCCCTGGCTGCACATACACCCTCCGCCCGAACGCTCCAGAAGACCTGGGTCGCCCTGGTCCGCAGGGGCGCGCTGGCCAAGCCACAGCACCTAGAGCCCCACGCACACGTGTGTGCATACTCCTCAGACCGTGAGGCCACCGTGTGGTGCCTGGCATCTACACGCACCGCATCCCGGCCGCTCGCCCCCACCACCTCCCCTTGTCCCTACTCCGACGCTTCGGAGCGTGACGGGCGGCGGGACTTAGCAGCCTCGCCACTCCCGGAGACGCCCACACGCTGGGGGTGGGCGCCCTATCTGGCTGGTCGCCCACCGAGAGCCGGTGTCCAGTGCCCGCGTCCCCGTGCCCGCCCGGCACTCACTGTCGGCCCCACCGCGCTGCGGCTGCGGTCCGGCTCCCGCGCCGCCTCCCAGGTGCCGGCAGGGCCGCGGAGGCAGCGGCGACAGAGGCGGGGCGGGCAGCCGCCAGTACTGGGACCCCCCCAGAAACCCCCTCCTCCCGCGTTTAACCCCTGCAGCTCCAGGCCGCCCTTGGTGCCGCGCCCTCGCTGCAGGCGCTTGCGCCAATCCTTTTACCTGAGGCTGCCGGTCCAGCGGGTCGCAGAGGAGCCTAGTAGATCGCTTCTGGGTCTGCTTGTAGCCTCGGACCGCGGCCCAGTGCGGTCACTGCCACGGCCCCAGCCTGAGCATCTGTTGGCCCGCGTCTCCTGACAAGGACCACACTAATCTCCTGGCTTCTTCCAGGCCCATTACACCACTGGGAAAGGCCCTTATCTCTCCTCCCCTGGGACAGCCTGGCCCTTGGGCTCAGCACTGAAGGAGGGGTCCCTCGGGACAAAGGGTTGAAGAGAATCATCCCAGGACACCTGGATCTGTCAAGCAAGGGAGCTGGGACCCAGATCTGGGAAGTCACTGCTCCTCTTCCCTTGTGCCCATCCTTTGGTCCTCACCTCCAGGCCCAGGAGGCAGCCTCAGAGGTCTGGGCCAGACTGGTGCCACCATTCTCTCCCCGCTGCCGAAACAGGCAAGACCCAGGCCCATCCTAAGCCTGCCCCTCGCTGCTCTCACCCACTTCTTTACAACCTCTGAGCTCACCAAAGACCCTCCTCTTGCCTCCTGGGGTACCACTTCCTACCAGTAGAGGGCCTGGGCAGATTCTCATTCTCTGGAGTCTCCCTGTTCTCACTTAAAGAAAAAGTATTATTATCACTTGGGGTGATGTTCTGGGCTTTGGAGAGGTCAGTTTTTGTAAGTGTTCAAAACACAGCCTGGAACAATTAAATACCTTAAAAACGTTAGCAACTTTCCTTTTAATTAAAAGTGTCCAAAGCTCAAGCTGGTTCTCTGTGCATTGCAGAGGATCTTTCTCTAGGTCCCCAGGATGGTCCCAAGCAGAGCATTTCCAGACAGGTCCAGCGCTAGGCCCTAGGAACTCAGGGGAGCCAGAACCGCTAGAGATATGGGCAGGAGTCAGATACTATGATAAACACCTCCCAGATCTGCCACAGTGACAGATCCTTTTACCTGAGGATCTGTTGGCCCACGTCTCCTGACAAGGACCACACTAATCTCCTGGCAGGAGTGACAGGAGTACAGGGCAGTGATTATGCTATTGGGAGCAGCCACCAAAGAGGCCTCTCAGGATCCCCAAGGCAGACACAGCACTCATGTAGGCAAACCCACACTTGGTCAGATTAGGCTGCTCCACTACTACACCAACACCTCCTCTGCAGCCCTTCAGTAGCCCCTGGTACCAAAGGCCAGATGAGAAATGGTGACAAGATAACCAGGCCTCCACAGAGCCCGTTCCACACAGTTTAAAATACGTAAGAGTCATAATCACAGTGCAGTAGGACCTATGAAAGGGGATCACAATATCTTGACATGAGATGAAAAGCTTCATTAACGGACATTCCACCCAACTCCCCAATGCAGGGGACAGAACTTAAGGTCTTGTACACATCAGAACAAGGATTCAGTCACTGAGCTATATTCTAGCACCAGGGTAGTCATACTCTGGGTTAGGCACAGTGGTGTGGGTCTGTAGTCCCAGCCACCTGTGCTGAGGCTGAGGCAGGACTGTTTGAATCCAGCCCAGGACCAGCATGCGGTTCGAAGGGAGACCCCTCCCTTTTATCTCACAAAAAAGGATTTTTGGGAGTTTGAGACAGGATTTCTCTATGTAGGTCAGGCTGGCCTTAAATTCACCATGGAGTCCAGGCCGGCCTCAAACTCAAGTGATATGCCTGCCTCTCCGAGTGCTAGGATTATGGGCATACACCACTATGACTGGCTGCTGGGGAGATGGTTCAGTAGAATAAGCGCTTGCCTGGCAAGTGCAAGGGCCTGAGCTCAATCCCCAGTTCCATAAAAAAATAAAAAGTAAAAACTCTTGGGAGGAATAGAATTTTTTTGGGAGGGCAGGCATAGAAATTTGGGGGGAGATGTGGCACAAGAGCAAAGTTATTGGCCTGGTATGGTGGCACACGCCTGTAATCCCAGCACTTGGGAAGATGAGGCAGGAGTATTATTGTAAACTCAAGGCCAGCCTGGACTACATAGTAAGACCCTGTCTAAAAATAAAAAGGGCTGGTAAGATAGTTCAACGGACTAAGCACCTGCTGAGGCAAGCTTAGGGAGTGGGGTTCAATCCCTAGTCCCAAAAGCAGCTCTGGCCCCACCCTCAGGGCATGCTGAGCTGGCAACCAATTCTGGGCATGGTGATGCTTGCCTGTAATCCCAGGGCTGAGGGGCCAGGGAGATAGCTCAGTAGAATAGACAAGGGTCTGAGTTCAATTCCTGGTTCCACCAAAAATAAAATAAAAAATCCCAGCGCTGAGGAGGCTGAAACAGGATCACTGTGAGTCCAAGCTGCATAGTGAGACCTTGTACCAAATACATAAAAGAAATAAATAATAATGATAATAATAAAAAGACCAGGGCTATTATGGCCAAGGGAGATCTGAGAACAAAGGTCCCCCTCTCCCTGACCACCAACCTAGCAGTCCATCTCAAAGGCCACTGCTCTGAGGCAGAAAGGTAAGTAATAGACAAGTAAACAGACCAGGGCACAGACACTGTTTATTGAGTGGCAGGCACAGGAGAGGTAGCTGGCTCCGGTGTGGAAGCGGAGGTGGTAGGTCATGCCAGGGCGCTATGGGCATCTGGCAGCCAGGACCATGCCCCCCATCTTAGGAAGGTGGCACAAGCTCACTACAACAGGAGCAGCAAGGGGCCGGCTAGAGGAGGGGGCAGCCACTGCCCCCAGGACCCTGATCAAGAAGAAGCGGCAGATAAAGTTGGCACAAGGGCCAGGGTAAAGGGGACTTGGGTCTGGGTGTTGGGGGGAAGCAGTGGAGAGGGGGTCACGTCTGTGGGGTAGAGTAGAGGCTGTGGTGGTGGCCACCCGGTCCCGGCACCTGGGAGAAGAGCAGAGGAGTGGTCCTCGTCTGGCTGCCCCCGCACCAGCCTGGCTCACGCCCGATGGCACCGTACCAGCTGCCAGAGCCTAGGCTGCCCGACATGCTGCAGGCAAAGAAGCAGGGTCAGTCTCAGGGCAGTGACCAGGGTCACATTCATGAGTCAGGGAAGGAAGAAAGGCTTCATATAGAGCCCCCCACGACTCAGACTTCCTGGGTCCAGAGAGGACAGCATCTGGGGCAAGAGGCAAAGGGTTTTTTTGTTTTGTTTTTTTCAGGTGGGGTCTTTTTTTTTTTTTTTTTTCAGGCAGGGTCTTGCTGTTTAGTTCAGGCTGGCCTTGAACTCTCTATGTAGCCCAGGCTGGCCTCAAACTTGTAGACAGCCTCCTGCCTCAGTTTCCCAAAGTCTAGGATTACCAGCATGAGCCACCATGCCCAGCGGGGTCATGGTTTTAGCAATAGAAATCCAGAGGGGTACCTCACCTAGAACAGATGGGTAGAAAAATGTTAGGGTGTTGGTGGGGCAGGGGAACCCAACTCCCAGACCCCACTTCTTGATGAAGTCTTAGGGATCCTAAGGTATCATGGGCTCCTACCTGGTGCTCTCTCCCCGGCTGTGCTCCCAGGAACAGGTCTCATCCTCACAGTGCCCAGCCCGGTCAAAGAAATAGGAACGGGAGCCAAAGACCTGCCCATTGAGGATGTGGCTGGTGCTCTGTGGAGGAGGAAAGCGGTGCCATTGATGCTTTCTCCCACCCCCTTCAACTAGTCTGAGACCCCAGCCCAGGATCTCCACATTTCAGTCCCTTCCCTTGGCCTCAGAGAACTGGGCAGAGATCCTCACCAGGTCCTGCGGTGGACGGTGAACTCGGAAGAAGCCCACCAGCAGAGTGGTGGGCAGTAGCTCCCACACAAAGAGAATGAGGCCAAACACCAGGTAGCCTTTGTTCCCCAAGTCATTGACCAGGTCCGCCTGGAGGGAAGGCAAAGGCTCATGCCAGTCATTAATCATGCCAGAGGGGTGCTGGCTGGGCAGGGCCTGGGTCAATTGGGAGCTAGGCACTGTGACTACTAAGGAAGTGGCAGATGTATGAAATACCCACCTGATCAGATACGTTGTACCAGTCATAATCAAAGGCATCCAGCCGGCTCCGGGGGGCCAAGGCCAGGGCTGCCAGGTTGTAGCAGGCCCGGCTGGCATACAGCAGAACCATGGCACCACCCATGGCAGCTGCCTGGCACACACTGGTCCCCTGGTACAGATGACAACAGAGGACCCTCAGGAAAAGGAAGCTCTCAGCTTCCTCTATGACTAAGACTGCTGCCCCAAGGTCCCCACAACACTTAGGCATCAAGTTTGTGGCCCTACCTTGGCCTCCAAGTAGATGCTAGTAGAGGGAGCTCGCCTGGCAACAAGGCAGAGGCAGGCAGCAAGAGAGAGAGCACAGATGACGAAGAGGGAATCGCTCACCAGGACGCGCACCAGCAGTAGGGCCCAGGGCTGTGCCCGGTGCCGGCGGGACAGCACTGCACACAGCACATTCACCAGCAGAAAAAGCAGCGAGGCCCCCACGAAGGCCCCTCGGACGGCCAGCCTGCAGCCCACAGCACAGTCAGCCCCAGAGCACTGGCTGCTGTTGGTACTCACCAACCACCCTCCTTCCCCCAGGGGATCCCAGTGTCAGTGAGAACTCACATTGTGCCATATGAATCCCACTCCTCCAGTTTTATAAGTGGGGAAACTGAGGCCCAAAGAGATACAGCAATTGACAGCTGTGGCATCTTAGAAACATTACCAGATTGGAAGCCAACAATTTGGGTTTGAGCCCTGGCACTGACTCCTGCCACCTCTGTGACCTTGAACATGTTGCTTTACCTTCTTGGGCCTCAGTTTTTCTCTCTCAAGTGAGGTTAAGAATAATCTCTCAGGTGAGTTGTAAAAAGGAAAAAGTTTGTGAAAGCTCTTAAAAACTAAGACACAAATGACAGGGATACTGCAGCCCAAGGTCACTGAGAAGTGCAATTGGTTTAGTAATTTCCATGGGCTGCAGCCTCCTGCTCATTCTCCACCCCGATGACTCTGGTATCCTCAAAGTATTACAACCATTTTTATTACTGTTGCCCCTCGTGTGGGCAATGCCTCTAATGAGCCATCTGCACTAGGTGCTTCAGCTTTTCCAGCTCTTTCACCAACATTCCCTGGGCCTTTGTCTCAACCGTACAAGGTGGGCTGCTCTCTGTCCCAGAATGCTGAGCCCACCAGCATCCCGAGTACTTACAGGCCTCGGCTCATCTGTGGCCGACGCTTTGCCTTGGCCTTGAACACCACCTGGGAGCAGAGATGCTCATCACTCCTTTGGGCCCTTGGGGCTTCTTCCCCAACAACCCCCACCCATCACCATAGTTACCTGGGCAAAGTAGAGGTTCATGAGCGTCAGTGTGAAGAACTGCAGGCAGACAGGACAGCAGTAGAGAAGCCAGAAGGGCAAGGGCCCTAGGTGGTTGGCCCGGGAAGTATCTCGGAAGTAGAAGGAGAAAAGGGTGGTGCGTAAGGCAGCCCAGAGTAGACAGAGAGCCAGGAACACCGTCTGATAGCTGAGACGTTTGTGCCCATACAGAAGCACCAGCCAGAGCTGGGCATAGACAGAGAAGAAAAGCAGGGCATACAAAGTGGTGTAGGCCGCAGTCAGTCCCAGGGTCACTGTAGGAGGCAGTGCAGGCACAAGCCCAGCAGCAGGCACCAAGCCAGACAGGTTACTCTCCATGTCAGAGAGGAAGGCCTAAACACCAGAGACAGATATGGGATGGCTAGGCGCCGGGGAAATAAATACAAAGGGGTGGGAATTGCAGGGTGCAGTGACAGAGATGGGGACTCAGGAAAGAAGTTGTGGCTGGTCAAGGCTTCCTCAAAGATACCTTTGCCCTTGGGGGACACTTGGGCACGTAGAGAGGTAGTCTCTCCTCTCCAGAGCAGATGGGGTAGGGTTTGGGGAATGAATCTCCCGAGGTCTCTCCCCAGTCAGGGGATGACGGGATGCAGAGGATGAAGGAGAGGAGCCTTGATCATTAGTGTCGGCCTGGCAGGAGGGGGAGAGCCAGCCAATGCCCGCCGGTTAAGAGCAATGGCTGTGGCGGGTTCGCCCAACGCCCGGCTCTCCCCCTCCCCAAGCTCGGGGGGCTTTCTCCCCTCCAATAATCCGGAAGGTATCTTCCTCTGTCCTCCGGATTCCAGCCGCTGCCCCCCTCCCCGCATCCGCCCTCAAGCCGTGGGGGGCGGGAGGAGGCCGATGCTCGGTTCCTCAGGCCGCAGCTGGAAAAGCGGGGTCCAGTAGCCGGACCCCAGGTTCCAGCTCTCCGGCTCCCGCTGCTTCACCCGCTCCTGCGCCTGCGCGGGCACCGTCCGCCACGCAAGTTGCGCAGGGGCTGACCCGGGCTCCGCAGCGGCTCGCCGCGCCCGGCGTGAAACAATTCAAGAATAGGCGGGATCTGCACTGCCGCCGGGCACCGTGAGGTACCAGGGCCGGCGAAAAGCCAAGATGCGGAAGCTGTGCCCTATTCAGTGGGTGTCCGGGTGGACCGCCGTCCCTTTCTTGTTTGGGAAGCTGCCAAGTTCCACTCTTAGCTCCCCCATCCCCAAATTGGTGTTGAGCTGCCCGGATGGGGGCGGCAACCGCTTCCCCTCACCCGATTTTCTCTGAAGGAAACTTCCGCCCATAGCCAAGATGGCGTCCAGACCCCGCCCCCGGACCTGGGCCGGAAGTTCCCAGTCCAGACCCCCAGCCCTACCACAGTCCGCCTGAGTCGCTCACCTGGCCGGTTACCGGCCCGCTGCGAAGCACTAAGGCTCGCCTGCACAGGTGCCCCTGTGCCTTTCCTGCGTCCGGGCAGCCATCTTGCCCGGGCAGAGCCGCCCTTTTATCTTGAGTGATGCAGAAGTGGCGCGGGGAGGGGTCCCCGACGGGAGACGGGCAGCGCGAGGCCGCCACGCACGTAAACGGGAGTTCCCGGGCAGCGTCACCCGGACCAGGCGGAGCAATAACAGTAGCAACAGTGATTGTATCCGACGGCTAAGCGTCAATTTCGGCTTTGCAGAGTGATTTCGCCCACAGTAATCATCACTGTTTACAAAAGTTTTCACCGGCTCCCGAGGGAGGCGTCACCTCCATTTTACGGAGAAGGAAACGAAGGCCTAGAAGGACTCGTCAGCAAGAAGCAGTTCTTCAGGTTCCACATGCGGACTCCAGAGAAGCCCTCACCTTCTCCTACCCTCGCCGAAAGATTTTAAGGAAGTCTGAGCGAGGAAAACCGAGAGTTGGGCCCGGGCTGCGGAGAGGGCGGGGCCCCGCGGGGGTGGCCCCGCCTCCGGGCTGACCCGGGATTCCTTTCCAGAGCGGATTGGCCTGAGTCGGTGACAGTTCGCGTTGCCCAGGAAACTAGGGCTGGGCACCCTCAGTAACTGGCGGGAGGCGGCAGGCCCGAGTCAGGGGCCTGGAGATTGAGATCGGGCTTGGGGTGAGACCTGTGCGCCGGCACCACGGGTGGGGCAGGGCAGGTTAGGGCCTGTTTCGAGGCCCAGGGCGATCCTGGGACACTAGGCCCCTGAAGGGAAAATTGGGGCTTGTGTGGGCAGCCTGCAGTCCCTGCCCGGCCAATTCCAGCAAACAGATGAGCGCCTAGAGGAAGGGCAGGCCTGGGGGGTGCTAGGGTGGCAGAAGGGCTAGGATATGGGTACCCTGCCTCCAGCGGTTACCTTTTGTCCTGGCTGTGCCTGACTACATATTATCTTGTCCCCACAGCCCAGAGCATGTTTCAGATCCCAGAGTTTGAGCCGAGTGAGCAGGAAGACTCCAGCTCTGAAGAAAGGGGCCAGGGCCCCAGCCCCACAGGGGACCAGCTGGGTCACAGCAAAACATTATTAAGCTTCCTGCGGGACGCCAGTCACCAGCAGAGGCAGCTGAGCCGTAGCAGCTACCATGGAGGTAGGTTCCTCACCACTGCCCACACCTATCGGCCTGTCCACCTTGCTCTCTCAGCCGAGTCCCTCCCTGCACCCCAATTGCATCCACACTCATGAAGATTTTGGGGGAGTCTCTAACGTACCTGAACTTTAGTGTCTTCTTCTGAAAGCCAATTCATTACCACCATTATAGAATTATTGGGTTAATTAGCAAAAATCATCAAGAAAGCACGTAACTATAAAGTTGGTGTATAGTAAATGCTCAAAGGTGCCTGTTATAAAAAAAAAAAAAAGGTGTCTGTTATTATAGAGCCAGGCCAACTGATGCAGAACAGTGGTCGAGAAAGGGAAAGTGACTTGCCTAAGGTCAGGAAGGTTTGGCACTGCCCACATAGCAGCCAGGACTGGAAGACTTCTTGCCTCAGAGATCCTCTTCACGGGATCAGCCTCTCAGCTGCCTGCTGTTCTCTTTCTCTTTCTCTCTCTCACTCTCGCTTTTTTTTTTTTTTTTTTCCAGATAGGGTCTTACTGTGTAGTCCAGGGTGGCCTTGAACTCACTGCATAGCCCAGGCTGGGCTCAAACTTTCAGTGATCCTGCTGCTTCATCCTCCTGAGTGCTGGGATTATAGGCATGTGCCACCATGCATAACTGTTCTTTATCATTTTGTGGTACCCACACTGGGGTTGTCCTTGTAGGCTACCACAGGTAGCAGTCACTCCTCCCAGGTAGTGGACCAATATGTGACTGGGAAACACTTTGAGCAGCAGCTCTGTTTCTGTAGTCTCTCCTTCCTCAGGCCTGGTCCAGGCCTTGGCACCTAGAACAACCATAGAGATCAAGGCAAAACCAGGTCTTATCACTGGCCCAAGGAAAAGTAAATGATCCCCTATTCATTTTGAAGATTATGAAGACTTACCAGGGTGCCTCCTTATTTCTGTCTTATGTGTACAGCTTACCATCCAGATTTGTTTTGGTCTTTTTGGTACTAGGAATCAAACTCAAGACCTTGTTCTTGCCAGACAAGGCACTTGAGCCACTGAGCTATATCCCTGGTGATCATCCAGATTTAGTGTTCGGTACTCTTTTGCTCTCTGCCTTCACCTGCTCTCCACCTCCTTCCACCCGGTCCTCATTCTTTCTGCTGTCCATCCCTACCTGCTGGTCCCCCCATCCTCAGTACTTCTCTTCATGGAGTGTTGCATATGTGCCACACTTAGTTCCTCAGGTCACATCAGGAACAAAAAGGCAGAAAGCAGAATCTTTGCCCTGTAGAGATCATGTGTTCTAGCAAGATAGGAGGAAAAGGGCCATAAACGATGAACACAAAATGCTATTACAGCCAGGTGTGGTAGAGCACGCCTATGATCCTAGCACTTGGTGAGGCTGAGCAGCAGGATTGCTGAGAGTTCTTTTTTGTTTGTTTCTTTTGTGGAACCAGGGATTGAACTCAGACCCTTTGCACTTGCCAGGCAAGTGCTTATTCTACTGAGCTATCTCCCCAGCCCAATATATGTATGGAATTTTTAGCCCAGCTTCTCTCTGACTAGTGGATGAGGCAAGCTCTTTCCACGCACTTTCTGCTGTTCTTTTTTTTTTTTTTGGTGGTACCGCGGATTGAACCCAGAGCTCTGTGCTTGCCAGGCAGACGCTTGTTCTACTGAGCTATCTCCCCAACATGCTGAGAGTTCAAGGCCAGTCTGAACTACATACTGAGACTCTGTCTTAAAAAATAAATAATAAATTTTTAAAAAGGGCCAAGGAGATAGCTCAGTAGAAAAAGCACCTGCCAGACAAGCACAGGGTCCTGAGTTGAATCCCCAGTATGGAGAAAAAAAAAAAAAAAAAAAAAAAATCTAGGGGAAAATAAAAAGGAAATTACAGAATGTGTTACATGATACAGGTTGGGCTCAGAAGATTGCAGCATTGCTGAGGGCTGGTGAGGTGAGTAACTGAGGCAATCAGCACAGGCCTTGGAAAAAGCAACACTGGAGCAGAGGGGAGAAAAGGCTAAGGCTGAGCCATTCTGATGCTGGTGAGAGGAGAGTTCAGGCAAGGGAAAGCCTCAGGGACCAAGACTACACCTGGTTCCTGTGGCTCAAGGGGAGGGAAGAAAGGAGGGTAGTTAGAGCCCTTCCCAGGCTTCATAAGGCTTCAAAGGCCATTGTAGGGGCTGGGGAGATGGCTCAGTTGAATAAGCGCTTTCCTGGCAAGTGCAAGGGCCTGAGTTCAATCCTCGGTTCCACAAAAAAAAAGAAAGAAAAAAGGCCATTGTAGACCTTCACCGTTGAGTAAAAACCTAGGAAGCCCCACACATACACCATACCAGGGATTGAGCCCATGTTCTCACACATGCTAGCCAAGTAGTCTACCACTGAGCTACACCCCTAACCCTTGGATTTATTTTGGGATAAAGCTGGCAGGATTTTCTGAGAAATTGGATGGGGGTACCAGGAAAAAAGAGGTGTGAAGGATGACACCTAGGAATTTACCTGAGTGCCTAGAAGGATAAAATGGCCCTGAATAGAGAGGGGGTAGGAAAAGATCAGAAGCCTATTCAGGACATGTAGATATAGAGGTACCTTTTAGGCTACCAGCTGGGATTCCCAGGTGGGCACTGGGGGCAATGGCAGGGAGTTGGCCAAAGCTGTGTTTGTCTCAGCCCATCCAGGGCTAGGGCTGGAGGGTGATTGCAAGGAGGAATGGAAGGTGTGGGGTAAGGCAACAGCCATGTGGAGGGGAGCAGGCCCTGGGTAGGAGAGTCACAGCTTCCTGGAGTTGGATGCCAAGGGAGTGAATGATCAGGCAGTAGGAATGGTATTCTGTTGAACAGGTGGGAAGCTGGGGTGTGTTTGACAAAATGGTCTAGGTTGTACCTGTGGGAATGGGGCTCTGAAGACAAGGGTGAGACATGATCATACAGGCAGGAATGGGGGTGTGGAAAGCTCAGTTTCTGTGCACTGACACACAGGGCAGAAAACTGCGATGCTGTGCACAACTTACGGGAGGAGGAGCCTGAAGCTTGTGCTAGGCTGGAGAGGCCTGCTGTAAAGCAGAGGTGGTGAGGAGGGACAGAGAACATCTGCAGCAAGGAGTCTTTGTCCAGCTGCAGGCTCTCTGGATAGAGGGTGTGGAGAACAAGTAGCCATTATGGATAGGGACAGCTCAGGATTGCCATTTTAAATTTTTTTATTTTTAAGGGGCTGGCGAGATTGCTGAGCAGACTAAAGTGCCTGGTTAGGAAAGCTTAGGCAAGTGCAGGGGCTGTGGTTTGATCCCTGGCACCACATGCCATGCCAGTCCTGCCCCCCAGGGTGGGCTGAGCCGATCACAGCGTCCAGACGTAGTGATGTACGCCTGTAATCCCAGCGCTGGGGAGGCTGAAAATAAGAGGATCACCACGAATCTAAGCTTCATAGTGAGACACTGCAACAATCAAATGCATTTAAAAAAAATTTATTTTTAGCTGAGCCTGGTGGTACACACCTGTGGTACACTAGGGAGGCTGAGGCAGGAGGATCACCTGAGGTCAAGGTCAGCTCGTGCTACCTAGTGAGTACAAGAACAGACTGAACTGTCCACATAGCAAGACCTTGTCTCAAAAAAAAAAA